GGTCAATTTAAACAATCATTACCGGTTTCAACTGTACTACATTGGTCCCTCCCCTCCTAAGTTAGGCCCCTGGCCCGTGCCAACCAAGCTGAACCACGGCGAGGCCTCCTCCGCCGGCACTTCTACATGTGTTTCGACCATCGGGGACAACCGAGGGCAGGGGGGGGGGGGGGGGGGGGGGGGGGGGAAAAAAAAAAAAAAAGGGGGGGGGGGGGGGGGGGGGGGGAAAAAAAAAAAAAAAAAAAAAAAAAAAGGGGGGGGGGGGGGGGGGGGGGGGGGGGGGGGGGGGGGGGGGGGGGGGGGGGGGGGGGGGGGGGGGGGGGGGGGGGGGGGGGGGGGGGGGGGGGGGGGGGGGGGGGGGGGGGGGGGGGGGGGGGGGGGGGGGGGGGGGGGGGGGGGGGGGGGGGGGGGGGGGGGGGGGGGGGGGGGGGGGGGGGGGGGGGGGGGGGGGGGGGGGGGGGGGGGGGGGGGGGGGGGGGGGGGGGGGGGGGGGGGGGGGGGGGGGGGGGGGGGGGGGGGGGGGGGGGGGGGGGGGGGGGGGGGGGGGGGGGGGGGGGGGGGGGGGGGGGGGGGGGGGGGGGGGGGGGGGGGGGGGGGGGGGGGGGGGGGGGGGGGGGGGAAATTCCAGCTACAGGCGTAGCACATGCAGACGGTGTCATCGATTTCAGTTGGTTGTAGTGGACGGTCAGTACGTCGGCGTTTAGATCCGAAACGTTTCGAAGCACATACACAATAGGCGAGCGTACGAAACGAAATCAGAACGCCCCTGCCATTCCCGACGGAATTTTCCTGGTGCGTCAGCTGGAGATCTTGGTCGGTGTAGCCTACACGAGCACAATTTCGCTATTTAGGGCCTCGACTTTGGCGATCATAGTACTCCTACCGCCTGCGTTGCGCTCTGTTTATATGCCCCTGCACGCTTTGAAAGGCTACTCGGGGTCGCGCAGGGTAATGCGGATGTATTCCGACATAGAGCAAGCTTCAACCGGAGAGACAGGTGATAGTAATTCCAGAGGTAAGCGAACTTCACGGCTGAGATCAAGATAGGCTGGAGAACAGCCGGTCGTAGGGTGCACTGAGGCCCGATAGGCAAGCATACATTGTGGCAATGCTTCGTCCCACTGATTAGACTGATGGCGATCGACGAAACTCTTTAAGATAGCCTTTATAGTCCTGTTGGTCGCTCAACGAGCCCATTTCCTTGTGGATGGTACGGTGTAGTTCGTGTCTTTTTAAAGGCTAGCAAGCGACGCATTTCTTGCATTGGATGACTTTCAAAAGCCACGCCCTGATCGGAGTGAAAGGATCTGGGTGCAACGTAACGATCCACCCACTCGTTGACGAGGGTGGAAGTGACTGTGGATGCATTTTGGCATCTGACAAGTATCGCCTCGCACTACTTCAAGAAGTAATCTATCATAACTAGTATGAAGCATTTCCCGCTCTTTGTTATCGGCAAAGGACCAATGATATCTACTCCATTTCGTTGCCCTGGTAAGGAAGTAGCTATTGGTCCCAAAGGAGCAAGAGGGACGGGCACCATTGGTTTCAAAGTAGCACAGAGCTCACATAACACACAGAATTGAACGACATCGGCGTGGATGCCCGGCCACCAGTACCCTTGCCAAACCGCAGTCTCCGTTTTCAACTGACCGGAATGGTCCGACTGTTGATGAGCTTTTTGTAGTATTCCAAGAGATCGGGTCGTCGGAGTAATCAGTTTCGGACCGGATTTATCAGCGCGTTACAGAACACCCTCGATGGTTCTCAAGTCCTTCCAGTGCCCGCATAGGGAGCGCTCTTCTGTGTTGCGTTCACGAAGTGAATTTCCAGTGGTTTTCGAGGAGCCATTCAGCGGTCGATTGTACGTGGTAGCTATGCACGGATCACATGCTTGCTCTTCGGCCCACGCAACACCGGTCTCTGGGGTTGTGAAAGCCGAATTGACTTATTCGGATCTCACTAGCCTTGACAGCGCGTCTGTACTAGAGTGTCCTGTCCCGGGAAGACATTCGCAGGTAAAATCGTATAATTGACGCTGTTCCTGCCACATTGTTATCTGCCTCTCCGGCTCACGAAAGCGTTTTAACCACTGAAATGCCCGGTGATCAGTGCGAACCTAAAAATGGCTTCCCAAGTAGGTACGGCTCAAAATGTCGCAAAAAGCTAATTAGCGCCAGTAGTTCCCGTCGAGTGGTGCTGTACTTCGTCTCGCGTTTATCTGAGCGGCGAATAGATTAGGAGATTACAACTTCGCCCGCCGGAGTTCTCTGGCATAAAACTGCGCCGATGGCTTCATCGCCCGCATCTGTATCCCACACAAAAGCTCCCGAATCTGGTGAGGTGTCAGCGAGAGCCAAGGTCGGGTGTGTCGTAAGATGAACTTTCAACTATACAAAAGCATTCTGACATACGTTAGTCCAGCAGAATTTTCGTCCCTTCTCAGTTAAACGATGTAAGGAAGCAGAGATGGCTACAAAAGTAAAAATCAACCGTCGATAGTACGAAGCCAATCCTAAGAAACTTCGGAGTTCTGCTGTCGCTTTAGGTTGTGGCCAGGAAGTAATTTTTACATTTGGCGGCGTCTGTCCTCACACCTTCATGGGAGGTGATGTGCCCCAAGTACTTACCTTCACGCAGGAAAAATGACATGTTGGACCCCGTAGTTTCAAACTCGTTACGCGCAGCCGATCCAGTAGGAGGCGCAGCCGCCGGTTATGCTCCTCAATCGATCGCCCATAAGCGATTATAGCTTCTAAATAAATTTAACAGCTACCAGGTGTCAGACCTACCAGGACTTTCTGCATTAGCCTCTGAAACGTAGCCGGAGTATTAACCAGACCAAAATGCATCGTTTCAAATTCATATAGACCGTTGGGAACAGTGAAAGCTGTTTTCTCACGGTCTTCCGGTCTTACTTCTACTGGCCAGTAACCACATAGAAGATCCAACATAGAGGACCAACATGAACCGTGGAGTGCGTCGAATGTGGCATCAATACAGGGAAGTGGAAATGAATTTTTACGGGTTACCTCGTTAAGCTTTCGATAATCAACACAATGCTGCAAGGTTCCGTCTTGTTTATTCACTAGAGCGATTGGCGACCCACGGTGGTGACGAAGGTTTAATGATACGTTTGTCCAGCATCTTTGATCATTGACGCCAACTGCGGTTCGTAATGAACCGTCAACCTGCGCGCATGTTGACGAATAGGTCGGTGGGACATGGAGTCAAGCTCATGTTCAACTGGGCTCGCACGGCCAGGAGAATCAGCTGTGAAAACACCACTTCAAACTCTCGTAGCACTGAGACTGACTGGTCAGTGTTGTCTGTGATAACGCTAACGCGTCCAATAATTGGCGCAATAGCCCCCTTTTGGAAATACGGTGTTACTGAAGACGTGGTTGCGAGAATGAACGTAGCTCGACCGTCCCGTTGATGATAAATGACGGTTGGAGTAGGACTCATCAGTACGGTCCTGAATTCAAGTGCAACAGTACAACCATGTAGGGTGAGGAAAGCCATTCCCAACGTAGCGTCCCAGGTCAAATTTCGACAAGCTATAACGTTATGACGAGCTACTACCCCATCAAGTTTTACGCGTGAAGGCAGTGTAAACTCTCTCCGCAACTCCAACCCGTTGGGGATGACAAGACGAGGCTGCTGACTGGTAACCGTGTAGATGTTCCTAAGGCAGTGGGCACTATCAAGGTGAAGTAGAGAACACGGAGCACCAGTATCAATCAAAAAACGCACGCTAATATCGTCTAACCACCCATGTATTGTGAATGGTTTACAGTGTAGGTTGCTAGTGAAAATTGATGCCAAAAACTGAAAATTGTGCAAAGCTGACTACCTCGGGGTTGTCGAAAAACGATAGATGTGTCGTAGCCACAGCGCTGGGTACGTCTGCCTAACCGCTGACAGTATACGCAGTCTGCTACGGGGGTTTTTCTTACTGGGGAATGGTGCCTGTGCTCAGCTGCGAAAACGTCGGTCGATGGGCGTAAAGTTGAACAACTATCATGACCAGGATGGCTTCGGTCGGTTTTGATGTGCTCCAGAAATTCCCGATTCTTGGCCTCTTCCAGAACCTCCTCCAGCGAACGAGGAAGTTTTAAAGTGTGTTTGTCACGGAGATATTGGTCGCTTGGCCCACCGCCAACCTCACACATTTCACTTCTCTTGACCTTCGTCCTGAGACTCTGGGAACTCTTTGTGAGCCAAAATTCAGAGAGCTGCGAGGGAGACATCTGCATTCTCCGGGGATAGCTAACGCCGAGCAAAGAATGTGTCACGGGAGAACGCAACAGGGTAGCATTTGGAAAAAATTTTCGGAGAGTGGCCCAGATCTTTTCCACAGGTGAATTAGCATGTACGCTCATTGTTAGTAGAACGGGTAAGACTTCTTCGCTTAAGAAACTGAGCATGATCGGGCCGAGTGACCTTTCTGGCGCTGAAACGTTGTACCCAGTGGCTTGAAAGTACCAGCTTCCAACGTCCTCACCCGGGCGGAAAACACGCAGTTGGCGACCGAGGGATTGGATCTGCAAACTTGTGTCTCGGACACAACACTCAATCTTTGGTTAGCTGAAAGCACGTTTGCTCATACTAGTGGAACTGCCTGTTAGGCCAATTTGTAAGATATTCCGGATGGCAGGTTCGAGACACGGGCGAGAAATCCCGGCTACAAACGAAAGGCACGTGAGAATCAGTGACCAGGTGACTAACGCGGTAGCTCGTACGAAATGGCAATCATGCAAGAAGACGATGCTCTAATGCGTCGGATACGAGAGCGTATGATCGGGAGCGAGACAATTGTATTCAACAGCGCGACATGCGAATAGCCTGGTACACGGCAAGCAAGTATATGAACAACGAGTTAACAAGGAACAGGTACTGGGGCTTAGCTTTTGATTCCCTTCATTCATTGTGCATTCAGTCCGCCAAGCCCTGTAAGAAAGCAAAGGAGACATTAGTAATGGCGGTCAAGTTAAACAATTCATTGCATGTTCGATTTTATTACGCTCTACGATTTTGGAGTACGCGCGTGTATTTCAGCAAACTGCAGGCATTTAAAGTTAAAATTGTTATACTACGAAATTTTGCTTCACGGCAAATTATACAAGCAAGATTATGCCGAAAGTGGCGGCTAATCATCTCGTTAATCTACATAAACCCAAAGATGCTGAACATCATTTGATTATTCCTATCGTACCTGCCTACTTAATAAATGCCACGCAATCAATGTGGCAGGTTGCTAATATATTACGCGCAGGAAGTGACGTACTACTGGCACACAAATGTATCTCGTAAGCAGTATTGTGCGAACGCGTGACTTGGTGTGGCATTGTAACCTAGAATTATGCGCACTAAAGACAAAGTTGGGGTGGCCTTCCTATAGCGTTGCAAGTGTAAAACCACTTAAAGTAATTAAATATATATGTCATCCATGAGCATTGGCCACAACATAATTCTCTGTATCTCTCCAACCTTAGTATATGTACGTAGGGAGCGAGTACGAAAGGCGGCGCAACCAGGATTCTAAACACGGCCGAACGGCTGACAATGCGGCACGCCGCCACTAGTTTATAGTCAGGCTACGTGTGCCGCGTATAAGTTAGCTAAAACATATTGTCCGTTAAAGTAATGACAAACCAAAGGTTGCAAAATCAGAA